TTTTAAAATTACACTTTTAAAATCACACTTTAAAAATTACACTTTTAAAATCACACTTTAAAAATTACACTTTTAAAATTAAACTTTTAAAATTACACTTTTAAAATTACACTTTTAAAATTACAATTTTAAAATTACACTTTTAAAAATTACACTTTTAAAATCACATTTTTAAAATCACACTTTTAAAATTACACTTTTAAAATTACACTTTTAAAATTACACTTTAAAAATTACACTTTTAAAATTACACACAAAACAGTCAACGAGTGAAATGATGACGTTAATAGCTGTGGGGGTTAAATAAATAAAATAGGCAGCAAACGTAACATTTCGAGACTTTATACCAAGTTATCGCAAGCAGTTCTCGATTAAATGCTACTCTGGAGATAATAGTTATTTAATTCAGCTTTTTTTTTTCTTTGATATTCTCATGTTTTTACTTTGTTTTAGTGTAATCGATAACTTCATGGCATTGTGTTCCCATTTTGTGTTTTAAAAAAAAAATTCTGTCTTAAGCCACTCGGGTTAATCAAAGCTCACGATTAAAATCCGAATTTAGTTAGTTGGATTAATGGAATAAATTTACGAGAAAATATGCATAATGTAATGAATTCCCTGTTAATGCGATTAGATTGAGTTTTCATCACGTGGTTTTATTAGATATTTGCTTAATGATAAAATTGTCTTTATTTCGACAAATTTTTAATGGTTTATAAAGAATTTTGTACCACTATTGTAGAGGTACCGTGTGCAAACAAGTACTCTTTAAACTGTTCTAAAATGTTCTGTTGTTCCTCCTGCAAACTCCTGAAATTTGTTTTCAACTGGGGTCAATGAACCCCGATTGTTTCTGGTGTTGTGGAGCCGATGTTTCCTATGGTGGACCTCGTGACACCTTTTATACAGACACTTTTTTAAAAATTGCCTCAGACATGTAATTAACTGCGTTAGTTTGCCTTGTTCGCTATAGTATTACAGTTTTCATCATCGGCTTGTGAGGACTGATACAGATTTACAATAGTAATACTTCTTTCTGGCATGTACTTTTATTCATTTAAGATAGTTTACTTATACATAATACAAAACGTCTAATTTCACTTTGTTTTCCTTAGTCACCGCAGTTCGTCCTAATCACACGCATATAAAAGCCTGTTTGGGGTGGGGTGAAACGAGTGATACAAATAAAATTTACCTAGAGTGACTTTCTAAACATAGAATATGATGTTCTCTTTTTGACTAGTTTTGCGGTCAGCCCTGTTTTCAAATATAAGTATAGGCCTATAGCAAGGCCATATTTTTGCTAGTATTTTTAACACTAATTTTTAACAAGTTTAGTTTATCCCGGTTTTAAAGTACGAAATAACATTTCAATCCTGCTCGATTTTATTTTTTTATAAACAAGAGTAGCTTCCCTTTACTAAATGTTTGTGGTCTTTGTGTCAAACTTTATTTTTAAACCATAGCTGCCACCCCTACTGAATCTTAATGCCCTTTAATTCAACCTTATTTTAAACAGGAGTACCTGGCCCTTACTAAATGTTAATGCCCTTTGATTCAACCATATTTTTAAACAAGGGTAGCTGACCTGACCCTTACTAAATTCTAATTCTATTTGAGTCGAGCCTTATTTCGTATTTCACATTGTGTCTGACCTACAATTGGGGTAGAAAATTCGATCACTATGCTAGTCGCATACGTCGGTCGCACGTCGACTCACCCCACCCCCTCTTTCTCCCCCCCCCCCCCCCCTTCACACGAGACCTGGCTTACTCTAGCAGACGTGAAGTGTTAACGAACATAAAACCGTTAATAAGATTGGGTAGTGTCCCTTTGATAGACCCACACGAGTTGTCCCTCCACTCACACTGTAGCTACCGAGGTATGTTTGGAGTTGTCGGCCCTGTTTTCAGAGCGAGGCTGGATCTTTACTCTGACAACAGATAAAGAGTTGATATTGTTGAATCTGTTGTTGTAGTGATGGGTGGAGTGGAGTGTTGTATCTGTTGTTGTAGTGATGGGTGGAGTGGAGTGTTGGACACCACAGCCACAGTTGCGTATAAACCTAAGTATCACGTAACCGGCTGTACAACAGCAGTGTTGTGATGTTCATCCAGTAATGTCGGCAAGTGTTGGGGGACTGGGGTAGTCAAAAAGTAGTCAAAAAAGTAGTCAAAAAAGTAGTCAAAAAAGTAGTCAAAAACTACGCTCAGCTTAGAAGTTGGTCGTTTACTTGGCTAGCTGCTGTAGAATTCGGTAGTTTACTTGGGCTAGCTGCTGTTGGACTAGCTGTTTTAGAAGTTGGTCTTTTACTTAGGCTAGCTTCTGTAGAAGTTGGTCTTTTACTTGGGGTAGCTCCTGTAGAAGTTGGTCTTTTACTTGGGCTAGCTGCTGTAGAAGTTGGTCTTTTACTTGGGCTAGCTGCTGTAGAAGTTGGTCTTTTACTTGGGCTAGCTTCTGTAGAAGTTGGTCTTTTACTTGGGCTAGCTGCTGTAGAAGTTGGTCTTTTACTTGGGGTAGCTCCTGTAGAAGTTGGTCTTTTACTTGGGCTAGCTGCTGTAGAAGTTGGTCTTTTACTTGGGCTAGCTGCTGTAGAAGTTGGTCTTTTACTTGGGCTAGCTTCTGTAGAAGTTGGTCTTTTACTTGGGCTAGCTGCTGTAGAAGTTGGTCTTTTACTTGGGGTAGCTCCTGTAGAAGTTGGTCTTTTACTTGGGCTAGCTGCTGTAGAAGTTGGTCTTTTACTTGGGGTAGCTCCTGTAGAAGTTGGTCTTTTACTTGGGCTAGCTGCTGTAGAAGTTGGTCTTTTACTTAGGCTAGCTGCTGTAGAAGTTGGTCTTTTACTTGGGCTAGCTGCTGTAGAAGTTGGTCTTTTACTTGGGCTAGCTGCTGTAGAAGTTGGTCTTTTACTTGGGCTAGCTGCTGTAGAAGTTGGTCTTTTACTTGGGCTAGCTGCTGTAGAAGTTGGTCTTTTACTTGGGCTAGCTGCTGTAGAAGTTGGTCTTTTACTTGGGCTAGCTTCTGTAGAAGTTGGTCTTTTACTTGGGCTAGCTTCTGTAGAAGTTGGTCTTTTACTTGGGCTAGCAGCTACAGAACTTGGTCTTTTACTTGGGCTAGCTGCTGTAGAAGTTTGTCTTTTATTTGAGCTAGCTTGAGACATTAGAAGAATTTGCGCTCGCTGGAAAAATGGTCAAGCTCGACAACTTAGTTATCGAGACGTCATGAATGGAACTTGAAATAGGATCTTTAGCACTCTACGCTTGTTACCAAAGCGACAATTCCATACGTAGGGTTTTAAGTGAAAAACTATCCTTGTTTGAAGACAAACTCTGTATTTTATATCATTTTTGTATAATGACATTATTAAAATTCTCAATTTTAAAACAAATATATTTAAAACAAATATTGTATTATTATCTGGACATTTTTGTGTCTAAAATTGTTTCAATAAATACATTCTAATGCACCCAATGTTAAATTAACAAAAAATGAGGTCCATTATTGGCGTGTTGGGAGATATTCATTGTGCTGATTTTATTGGATATAAACTGGGGCGGGTGGGGGAGGGAGGGGTTAAGTGAGAATTTGTGGGTGGGTGGGGGAGGGAGGGTTTAAGTGAGAATTTGTCCTCTAATGAAGGAAATGTTTTCAGGATTTATGGAGCTGTGGAAACAAATTAGGTCATGAAACCAGTTTTTGCCGGTATTGCTTTCATTTCCACGAAAGTGTGGATGACCGCTATCGTCATCTCTATAATTATTGTAAGGACGGCCGTTATATTATCACGCTGTTATAACTGTATGGACGGCCGTTATAATATCACGCTGTAATAATTGTATGGACGGCCGTTATAATATCACGCTGTATTAATTGTATGGACGGCCGTTATAATATCACGCTGTAATAATTGTATGGACGGCCGTTATAATATCACGCTGTATTAATTGTATGGACGGCCGTTATAATATCACGCTGTTATAATTGTATGGACGGCCGTTATAATATCACGCTGTATTAATTGTATGGACGGCCGTTATAATATCACGCTGTTATAATTGTATGGACGGCCGTTAATTCTCTGTTATAATTAAATCGACAACAGCTACTACCTTCATCAAATGATTGTTGATTGTTCCCTACTGATTGTATTAAAAGAGACGGCTATCGTTTCCCGACAAGGGCGCTAATCCACTGTGGCTGTGCTAACACGATCCTATATCTCGCAGACCTAGCAGCACCCTAGTCCCTCATCACGTGACCCAGTCGGTAGCGGATCGTATGCCACTGTACCATTGATTTGCATAAGCCTCAAACACGATCGTAAAGAACGCGTTGGTACCGGGACGTGGTGGGAGGGGGCGGTGTAGGGGGGGGGGGGGTATCCGAGGTCAACCAGGCAATGACCGTTTAAATGGTGAAACCCAAAAGAATTAGCTCAACACAAACTTCAACTTTGGTATAAACTTGGGCTGGGAAAAAACACTAGGCTCAGTACGTTGATTGTAAATGTACTGAATTTAGTAATAGATGATAAGTGCAATTGATCTACATAGATGTGTTAAAAGTATAATCTTTTTGTGGTGGGGAAAAGTGTGCATCTATTAGAAAATGTACGAGATGAGCTATTTGGTGGGAGTAGTTGTTGTTTTAACACCTATGATCTCATTGATCGACCAATCAACCACCCCCCCCCCCCCCCCACACACACACATACCTTCCCCCACTCGTTCGGTGTTGATATCAACTGGTCCATGTTCTCTTCAGCAATATCATAGTTTGAGGTCTAGTTTACTATAGTTTTATTTTATTCATGTTGTATAAAAACTGGGTAGAAGGGTGGATAGGCTCAAAATTTGCTTTAACCCAACGCCTTGTATGAAACCACCGTCTCCTAACCTAGACTATTCTGTCTAACTCTGGTGTTGTTAACTAACCTTAACTCTGGTGTTGCTAGCTAACCCTAACTCTAGTGTTGCTAACTAACCTTAATCCTACCTCGACAGGTCCGTGATTTGATCCAGCGCTGCACCTGTCCTATACAGTTTCCCATGATCAAAGTTGGAGAGGGAAAGTACAAAATCGGAGATTCCCGGAGTCTCATCTTCGTTCGGGTAAGTCCGATTGACTTTTTGGTAATGTTCTTCGGTAGCAAGGTCTACACCCCTCCAACCTTTGTGTTTGGTCTTATTTTCGGACAAGCCCTAATCTAAGTATGTAAATGTCGATACCGGACAATACCCCAACATTTTTTTTTTATCTTTACTTCAACCGTTACCAAAACAACATTCTCACAAAGACCCGAACACACAAAAGCACAAGAATAGCCACCTTTTATTACATATTTTAGACCCATTAAAGCTTCATTTTAATTGGAAATTTTTTTTAATTTAAAAAATTCTTCAATTATCCCATTGTGTTTTTATCGGCATTCTAATGCAATCATTTTAGTGGGGGAGGCAAGCTGAATTCTAATTTCTTTTAGCAAATAAACAAACACATTTCTTTTGCGGTTTTTTGTTTTTGTTGGGTTCTTTTTTTTTCTAAAATCAATGACGACAGCTCCTGGCTAAGCTCTTTTTATTAGTTAATTGGTTTTTGAAAATTATACTCTAAACAATTAGCACTATTGATAGTTTTTTTAAATTGTAAATATGTGGCATTGGGTGATAGACAATCAATGGCCCTCATGTATGATACAATGGCCGATGATATAAAATCGATACTAGTGTGTATGGTAAAATGGCCGATGTCATCGTCAGCACTGTTTGATACAATGACCGGTGGCAGTTTGTATTATACATAGGCCGATGGCATAATACTCGACAGCAGTGTGAATGATACAATGGCTGATGTATGATACAATGGTCGATGTATGATACATTGGCCAGTGCCTGAGTTCCCGTGATTCAATAATTGTGCTGTGTCTTTAAACAAAGATATCTGATCATGTCCTGTGTGTGTCTCTGATACAAATAATTGTATTGTAACTTTGATAAAAGACCTTTTTGTACACGATTCCTCATCTCCTGTGTGTTAAATTTTTTTTAGATTTTGAGAAACCACGTGATGGTCCGTGTGGGTGGAGGATGGGACACGCTGGAGAACTATTTAAACAAGCATGACCCCTGCCAGTGTAACTATAGGGGTGAGTACTGAATACGAGGGGGGTAGGGGCAGGGCAAAGACCGGAACTTGACAGTTTTACAACTACTTTGACAACACGACATTTACTTTCATAACTGCTTTATAACTAACTACTATTTTGACAGCTACATAGACAACAACTTTGGCAACCAGAAACTACTTAGAGAACTACTTTGAATACTGATTTTCAAACATTCATACCTCTATCTACTATCATGCCTAAATAGTATTTCTTTCACTACGAAAAGCTCACCGATTCTGATTACCCTCTGTACTGAATATGATAAACACTGCCACTGTCACTTTCTGTATGAATGACTTTTGTTACGTTCCTATTAGACATACTTCATTACAGCTTTTTCCCTCATCTTTTCTCCACATTATTTCGCCCACACCTTTCCCTTACACAATTACCCCCACTTCTCCCCTCCCTCACTTTCCTCCACACACACACACACATTTCGCCACATACATTTCCCCTACTTCCCGCACATTTCACCCCACCTTTCCCCCCATTTCCCCACACACAAATTTCCCCCACACACACTTCCCCCACCCCCCACACTCCCCGCAAAACACACATTTCCCTACCCACATTCCCCCACTAACTCCCCCTTCCTACACACACTTCCCCCACACACACTTCCCCCCACACTTAACTCCCGCATAAAACCGCTCTCTGCTTTACCACCCACAGGCCACCGCGGCAATACCAACCCTGTCTTTCAATCAGCCTCCAGCCAACAACGTCGTCCCTCGACCACCATCACCCGCCCACCTGCCCCCAACACCCCCACCTCACCCAGACGCGCCCCCAACACGGCGCCACCCCCGGAGAGATCCTCATCCCCTCAGACAACCGCGCCACCCCCCAGCAACTCGCGGGCCAAGAGCCCCACCCTCATCATCTCCAGACACAACCCTGGCTCGGGCAAGACGTCCCAGCCCAATTTTAAAGTCAGCCGGACTGCTACTGCGCCCCATGAAACGAGTTCGAATCCTCACCACACCGCCTCCAACCAGCCCACTCGCTCCAGCTCGCCGGCCTTGACCCGACTGAGGAGCCCGTCGCCCTTGAACTCCCCGAGTCGGCTGGTCAAGTCGTCCAACTCGTCCCCGCTTCACAGCAGAGGCCGAAGCTCCGAGCAGCTGGACAGGCTAAAGACGCTTAGAAATGGATCCTCAGCAGCATCTATCAGCAGGTATGTCTCGATCTTTGGCCTGGTGTGTGTAGTCGGGTTAAAGGACTTGGTGATGTTTTTGAAATATTGATATCGGAGAGGGGGGGTATGTAGTAGTTGCTGGGGCATGGGTGGTGGTCAGTAGTTTAGGGGGCTTAAATGGTGGTCAGTAGTTTAGGGGTCGTAGATGGTGGTCTGTAGTTTAGGGGTCGTAGATGGTGGTCTGTAGTTAATGGGGCTTGTGTGGTGGTCAGTAGTTAAGGGGGTTTTGATGGTGGTCAGTAGTAGCGGGGGCTTGGATGGTGGTCAGTAGTTGATGGGGCTTGTGTGGTGGTCAGTAGTAGCGGGGGCTTGGATGGTGGTCAGTAGTTGATGGGGCTTGTGTGGTGGTCAGTAGTAGCGGGGGCTTGGGTGGTGGTCAGTAGTAGCGGGGGCTTGGGTGGTGGTCAGTAGTAGCGGGGGCTTGGGTGGTGGTCAGTAGTAGCGGGGGCTTGGGTGGTGGTCAGTAGTAGCGGGGGCTTGGATGGTGGTCAGTAGTAGCGGGGGCTTGGGTGGTGGTCAGTAGTAGCGGGGGCTTGGATGGTGGTCAGTAGTTGAGGGGGTTTTGATGGTGGTCAGTAGTAGCGGGGGCTTGGATGTTTTTCAGCTGGAAACCTTAGTAAATATGATGAAATAGAATCTGGAAAATACAATAGAAGGGTGGCTTCAAGACTAACTTGAAGGCTATTTCTTCAATTAATGTTCGTAACTAGGTGTGGTGGTATTCACCAGTTAGATGTAGTCATCACCAACTACCTGTGATGGTATTTACCAGTTAGATGTTGTGGTAATGTCGAACTACCTGTGGTTTTCGTCACATAGAGCATAGATAGGGCACCAGACAGTTGAAGACAGAGTAAAAAAGTGGAACCTTTATTTTACTACCAGACACAGGCCACGGTTAAAAGACCTGCCCACGTGATCATCTCTTGCCCACGTGATCCTCTCTGTACTTTTTACCTCTTATTTGATATAATAAGGATCATTTACTGTAGGTAGTAATATACTTGTATCAATGATTAGTCACTTGGTTACTGTCAATGAAACCAGGAATATTTACTGCAGGCAGTAATATACGAGCAGCAAATAGTCTACTAGTCTACTTGTTATTGTCAAAGTAATCAGGACCATTTACTGTAGACATTATTTAACAATCATCAGTATGTCCTTCATCTGTTATCACAGTATAACACAATACACATGTTTTATCTTCGCGTTATGATGAACAACTCCTTTACAAATATCACGTTGACCTTTAACCCATCACCATTTCCGCAGTGAGTTTGACGAAGAACTAGCCTTCAAAGAAAACCATCTCCACTACATGGACGTGAGCTCACAGAACGGGTACGACCACCCACCCATCCACTAGTCTCCCCTACGTCTTTACCTAACAACTGCACGTCTTTCTTAGATCACTCGCAGAAATGTACCCAGCATCGCCTCTCAACCTAACCCGAATGCCGCTTGCGCTTTTTATTTCCTTAAAATAAAAACTGACCCATGCCTTATATTGTTATGCTCGCTCTTTTAAAAAAAAAATTACTGCATTTGATTTAAATTAATTTCAACTTTCTGAAAATTAATTTTGTTTTTTTAACTTCAGATACAAAAGTTTTCATTTTAATTATTTTAGTTGGCTAGTTGTTTTTTGCTTTGCTTTTATTGTTACGTGCTGACTTGTGGTACCACGATGGCTGTAATGATCCCAAGATTCTTATTTGAGAATTACTCCTGCCTGTGTCTCCTGTGTCCCCTTACCCAATTGGGGAGACTTCTTTTTTTGCTTTAAAATTTTTATTGCAGAGGGGATTTTGGTAGCTTTTTAATAGCAAATACGTAGATGTGCCTACATTTAAGATAAAATACAAAACTTGTTATTTGTGAGAAATGGAAGTTTTAGTTACTGTGCTGCCCTAATGAAATACTGTCTCCAGTTCACCACCCATCACTGATGAAAAAAACCCAACCCTTTTTTTTTTAAAAACCCATATTGAAAAACCCATATTAAAAAACCCACCACTACGCAAGTTCATTAACCATCAGCCATGAAAAAAACTACCCCTATTTTAAAAAATACCCCTATTGAAAAACCCACCCTACTGAAACACCCGCCTCAAATGATTCCTCCACCCTCCCCCATCTCAAATGGCATCGTCATAAAAACGCCCACCTCCTAATCAAACACCCAACCCCTCAATGGTGTAGCTAGGGGAGGGTGGGTGGGGCGGCCGCCTCGGGCGTCAACCCTAGTGGGGCGCTAAACGGGGTGGGGGAAAATACAGTCTAAATTAAGAAAAAAAGATTATATATTGGGTGTATAGATAGATTTAACTGTTTTCTACATCGTGTGAAACAAAAATAAAAACTGTTAGTAGTATATTAGGTCCCTTTTGGGTCGCATGGGTGAGCAGGATGCGGAGGCGGATGCGGAACAAAGGCTATATAGGAAAATACTCGGATGCGGATGTACAATGACATATAGCAAAATACTCACCCACCTGGGTGGAGTGGGTGATGCGGATGTACAACGACATATAGTAAAATACTCCCTGGGTGATGCGGAGGTACACCGACATATAGTAAAATACTCACCCACCTGGGTGAGGGTGGGTGAGCAGGATGTACAATGAGATATAGTAAAATACTCACCCACCTGGGTGAAGGTGGGTGAGGGTGGGTGAGCAGGATGTACAATGAGATATAGTAAAATACTCACCCACCCTAGGGTGGGTGATGCGGATGCGGAGTAGGTCAGTAGGTCACCTTTTGGTGACCTTGTGACGTAATTAGTAACATTATGACGTAATCATTGACCTAGTTACGTAATCATTGACCTAGTTACGTAATTTTAACGAGTTTTTTAATTAGTTTAATGAGTTTTTAAAATTTTAATTAATTTTTTTTTGACCTAGTTACGTAATTTTAATGTGTTTTTTAATTAGTTTGAATTTAATTTTTAAATTTTTAATTAATTTTATTAACGAGTTACGTAATTTAATGCGTTTTTTAATGAGTTTGAATTTAATTTTTAAATTTTAATTAATTTTTATTATCGAGTTACGTAATTTAATTACTTTGATTGTATTTTTAATTGTTTAATTTGTTGTTTACTTGTTGTTTAATTTAATTACTTTGTTTATATTGTGTAATTTTTTATTGAGTAGTTACGTAATTTGATTATTTGTTTACTTTTTAATTATTTTTATTGACGAGTTACGTAATTGGATTTTATTTATTTTTTATTTTGTTTATTTTTAATTTTATTTTATAATTAGTTTGAATTCAATTTAATTACTTTGTTTATATTGTGTAATTTTTTTATTGACTAGTTACGTAATTTGATTGTTTGTTTGTATTTTGTTTGTTTATTTTGTTTGTTTACTTGTTATTTAATTTGATTACTTTGTTTATATTGTGTAATTTTTATTAACGAGTTACGTAATTTTAATTTTTAAATGATTATTTTTTTAATTTTTAACTTTTTAAAATTGATTTTAATTACTTTGAATGTTGTTTATTTGTTTATTTGTTGGTTTGTTTATTTGATTGTATGTATGTTTTATAGTAAACGGAGAGTAATGACGGGGGTTGAGGGGAGGGGTGTGCTAGCATGTACTAGAACAGTCTTTGTATAACAGCCATTAACCAGCCATGCAACAACACCTGTTACTTATTGATCCGCAATCCTTTGTTTTTGTCAAACACTCGACAAGGAATTATTATTTTTAAATTTTATTTTTAATTGTTGTTTACTTGTTGTTTAATTTAATTACTTTGTATAATTTATTTGTTTGAAATTCATTTTAATTAGTTTGCTTTTAATTTCTTTGTTGTACGCCGTTTAAAATAAAAGACTAACACTAGCGTGTACTAGAAAGTGTCATTGTGTATAACATCCATTTAACCACAGCTGTTACTGATTAGTGACAGCTTGTACTTATCGATCCGCCCGTGATCCTCCCCAGCGCTCCCCGTGGTTGCTTAATAGCGGGCTCACTGAAGCGATCACAACAGGTAATTAATCGAAGCCATTAAGTCCCTCTCCGCGTTAAGTGTGGCGACAGCTGGTGCTGTAATTAGTCACGGCTCTCGGCTTTTTTCATTAGACTACAGCTGTACATGAACTATGTTCACATATCGTACGCCCGGTCATTCTTTGATCAAATTAAAAAATTTTGTTTCCACATGTCCTGCGAACCGTCCCTTGCTATGTATGAAAGATTAATGGTTGTAACTATTCGCTTATAGCGAGGGTCAGCGAAAACAAAAATATATTTAAGGGTCGGAATTTTCTTTCAACCACCGTTAAGTCTGGTTTTGAGACGAAACGAAGTCTCGGTAGGTTCGTGTTTTTTAATGGGCGACAGGGCGACTTGGTGCGTTGGTACGTAGGTATGCGTGGGTAGACATGTTTTTTACAAGTCTGGAAAAGTAATTAAGTTTTTTTATGACCGTTCCGATTTTCTTTTGATCTGACCACCATTTGACCACACTGAGCCAGATAAATTTAACAATTGTCGCAGCGGGGTTTATTTTAAGTGCACCCCGTGCACGCTTGTTTACATTTTAAAAGACGTGTCGCGTGTCTTCCCCTTACGGCTTCCCTAATAGAGAAACGAGAGGAAAGACAACTGTTCTAAAATTAGAACAGCCTTGTCTACAGACACGAGTATCGTCCCTTGTGAAAAAATTCGCGTCAGAATCCTTAACTAAACAGTCAATTTCTTTAAAAAGTTAAAAAATAATTTAGGAAGACAAGGGTTAACAAAATATATATCTTAGTCTTGCAGCAGATTACCTTCCCATGTTCGCTTTAGTATTACAGTTTTCATCAATCTTCTTTTTGACTTGAACTTCGTTAATTTTTAAGAAAGTTTACTTATACATAATACATTACGTCTAATGACAATTTTTTATTTTTACCACTCAATGTATTTTCTTTTTCTATATCTTACATTGTCATCTTAATTTTTGATCACCTTAGGTGGTGGTAAGGTGGTAAGGTGGTGGTAAGGTGGTGGTAAGGTGGTGGTAAATTTGCTTAAGATTATAAACTTCAAGTTTTAAAAATCAACAACGTTATAGTACGTCGTGTCAAATGACACACCGTTAAAATGTCTACATTTAAAGTTCACCAAAATAATGACGTAAAATCTAAATATGATATGACGTTAGCATACATATCATTCAACCTAATCACTCTAAAGTACAAATCAATAATTTTTATTGATTAAGGGGCTGGGTGAGTTATTTTTATTCGGGTGCCCAGGGAAGGTTTGGAGTTGGTTGGGACAGATTTTATACACGAGTCGGTGACGTTTTCACCGAGGCAGGTTACAAAGTTCGTATATGCATCATTGGAATTGTTAGGTAGAGTTAAACTAAGGTCGGTGAAGTTTTCACCGAGGTTGGTTTTGAACTCGGAACATGCATGTTTTGGAATCGGTAGGTGTAGAGTCCATACTAGGGTCGGGGAGTTTTGCTAACACTGAGGCAGGTTGCAAAGTTGGCACATGCATGTTTAGGAATTGATGGTAGCCGAGTTCATACTAGTGTCGGTGAAGGTTGGTTTTGATCTCGGAACATGTATGTTTTGAAATTATTGGTAACCGAGTTCATACTAGGGTCAGGGGAGTTTTTGTTAACACCGAGGCAGGTTGCAAAATTGGTACATGCATGTTTAGGAATTGTGGTAGCCGAGTTCATACTAGTGTCGGTGAAGGTTGGTTTTGAACTCGGAGCATGCATGTTTAGGAATTGATGGCAGTCGAGTTCATACTAGGGACGGGGGTGTTTTCACCGAGGCAGGTTGGGAGTTTTTGTTAACACCGAGGCATGTTGGTACATGCATGTTTAGGAATTGTTGGTAGCCGAGTTCATACTAGTGTCGGTGAAGGTTGGTTTTGAACTCGGAGCATGCATGTTTTGAAATTGTTGGTAACCGAGTTCAGACTAGGGACGGGGGTGTTTTCACCGAGGCAGGTTACAAAGTTCGTATATGCATCATTGGAATTGTTAGGTAGAGTTAAACTAAGGTCGGTGAAGTTTTCACCGAGGTAGGTTACAAAGTTGGTACATGGATGTTTAGGAATTGATGGCAGTCGAGTTCATACTAGGGTCGGGGAATTTTGTTAGCACTGAGGCAGGTTGGAAAGTTGTTACATGGATGTTTGGGAATTGTTGGTAGCCGAGTTCATACTAGTGTCGGTGAAGGTTGGATTTGAACTCAGAACATGCATGTTTTGGAATTGTTGGTAGCCGATTTCATACTAGTGTCGGTGAAGGTTGGTTTTGAACTCGGAACATGCATGTTTTGGAATCGGTAGGTGTAGAGTCCATACTAAGGTCGGTGAAGTTTTCACCGATGGTGGTTTCAAAGTTAGTACAGGCATGTTTTGGAAGTGTTAGGGGCCGAGTTCATAGTAGTGTCGGTGAAGGTTGGTTTTGAACTCGGAACATGCATGTTTTGGAATCGGTAGGTGTAGAGTCCATACTAGGG